CGATTATTTTCCGAGAGCATAGACGGTCGGACAAAAATGTTTTTGTAAATATTCTTGGATAAATAATTCTTTTCGCCTCGAAAAATAATTACTATGGTACAGATGAGAGGGGGAAAAATAATTGTGTCCAATTTATATGCCGGTTATATCATCACGTGATTCACGTTACGATATATATATATATATATATCAAAAGACATTTTTAACCCACTGTACATGCTTTATATACACACCTTAACTTAACTTAAATATGTACTTATATATATATGTAAGATAGATATTTAATATCTTAGTGGAAAAGCGTTCAAAATTTTCACCTGGCCTCGACGACAATGGAGAACAATGTACCGGTTTGGCAACGAACCGGTTCAAGGAAGAATACGTGCGAATTTCAGGCCGTTTAATTTCTTTTTTCTTTCTTTTTTTTCTTTTTTTTTTTTTTTTTCTAACGTTTTAGCGACCCCAGAACCTCTTCTCTCAACCTCAAATTTTTGAGGCCCCCCCCTCTCCCCTCCTCAATCTTCTTTTTTTTTAATCTTCTCCTCTCTAAAGAAAGAAACGAAAGAAAGTACAACAACACGAGAAATAATTAAAAAAAAAAAAAAAAGCAAACAAACGAGCAACTGAAAAAGCCAAGCAAAAGAAAACAAAAAAAAAAAAAAATATCGAAAAAGAGCAAAAAAACACCCTACTACCCCCGCCAGCCCCGCCGAGTGCGAGCCAACCGGAGGCCCATGATTGAACAATATATGTTGTCGCTTTATCACGAGCCTGCGCTCGAAAAATCCTCGTGATAAAGGGAACTAGCGAGTAACAAAAGAAAAAAATGGTGAGCACCGAGTCAGATTCCGCCTCTCTCTCTCTCTATATCTATATTTCTCTTCTTGACTCTCTCTGCCTTTTCTCTTCTACCGCCTCACACGAGAAACCAACCGCTTTTATATATATATATATATATTTCTTTTTTTTCTTTTTTTTTTTTTTTTAGTCACTTTTTCTCTTCTTCTTCTTAATTTTATTTTCCATATTATTTTTTATTTTCCAAATATATATATAAATTCTGTCAAATCTCGCGGGCGATTTATCGATATACGCAACACACCTGCACGGCCTCTCTCTCTCTCTCTCTCTCTCTCTCTCTCTAGTAGTCTTTACTTTCTTTACTCATTTTTTTCTTTCTCTCTCTCTCTCTCTCTCTCTCTCTCGAGACACACAATAACTCCGTAACCCTTGCTAACACGTTTAACTCAATGGGTGCTTCTGTTTAGACAACAGCGATTTTTACACACACGCACACACAATATACATACAACATTGCTCGCTTCCAGACACACGTGTAGGGGTGCTGTACCGTAGATAAAACGCTTTTTCGGTTTCCTCTTACCTACCTGTTGTTTATTTATCTTTGAACGTTTTTTTTTCTCTCTCTCTCTCTCTCTCTTTCAAATTCGAGCTCTTTCTTAAAATTTCAATTTTCAATAGAGATTATCCCCTCTTCTATTATTTGCTTTCCCATTTTTTCATGGTTTCCCCTCCTTTCTTTCTTTTCTTTCTTTTCTTTCTTTCTTTCTTTCTTTCGTTCTTTCTTGTGCCTCTTGCTCTGTCCTCACTTCGTTTCTTTTATTTTTCTGAATAAAACGTATTTATTTATTATTTATTATTTGATTTCTTGTTACACACGATCCGCTTCTTGGCTCTCCTCTCGGGGCTCGGCGGAAGCCACTTGCGTGGTCGCAAAAGGGAAACGGGATACTAACCGATTAACTAACATGTGCCTAACACTCTAACCGCCCGGGTTGTTATTCTTTCGGTATTCTTTTGGTTTCTGGTAATTATCATTTTTTTTTAGTATTACATTTAGAGTTTTCGTTTTCGTTTCGTCGATCCGTGGACGACGGAAACCCACCTCGCGCGTTTCGAAACCTCTCGAAACCACTTCCGATGTATATATGAAAATTATTTCCGCTCAACTTTCAGCGCTCGTGGAGTTCCAGTGGAGTTTCTGTCGTTTCACCGATCGATCCCTCCCTCTTCTGTTTTGCAGTGGTGTTTTCTTGTACTGTCTGCTTCTGTTTCTGGTGGTTCTCCACCTCCTGGTATTCCAACGCCCCTGATCAATATCCCCCCACCCCTTTCTCTCTCTCTCTCTCTCTCTCATCGAGCAACCTAACGAGAAAAAAAAAAAAGGA